TATTCTAAATATTATTAAAATATAGAAATATCTAAATATCTAAATATTTTGCATAATATTTATTGTTAACAAAAAATTAATATTTTGTAAATATTTCTATAAATATTGCACATGAAAAAAAAATATAATTATTAAATTAATAAAGAAATAAGAAAATCGAAATTTAAATTGGTAATGTACAATAGAAAAAAATTCTTTAAATGAAAGAAAAATATTTTGTTACATATAATTTCTTAACTCAAAAAAATATTTGTTAAATTTTAGAAAATATATAATAAATATAAAAAAATATTTTTTTAAATTTGTAAAAAAAGTTGTAAAATTATGAATTTATGAATAAAAAAATGATTTCTTTGATTTAAAATATCTATATATATAAGAATAAACAAATGATTTCTTTACAAGGAGAAAATTAGTGTTTTTAAATGTAAAAACTGTTTAAATAAATATTTGCTTGTTTTAAAAGTAAATAAAATACAAGTAAATCATTTTATAAATCTGAATAAATTATTTTCTAATATTAAAAGTATTTTTTATTGTTCAAATGAAAGTTTCTTTTATTATCAGAAAAAAATTTATTTAAATTTAGAACATAATTTATCTTACTTACTTTTAACACATGTAAATATTTTTTAAATATACTTTCTACATACTTTTTAAAATATATATTTTAAAAGAATCTATTCTCTCCTTTTAAATAAATCATATGCTTTCGTATATGGATATACCATATGTACACAATATAAAGCGTCTCTCAATCAAAGTAACAGTGACGCAGTAGATAAGGTGAACGACACAAGAATCAGCCCAAGTAACAGATTCACGTCAAAATGACGTAAAAAACTGGTCATAACTGGTCGAGTGACGTCAAGTGACTAAATAACGACGTCTTTAAAACGCTTTTTTTGTGACATCTTAATGACGTTTCTGTATAACGTCTTAAAAACGTATAATTTAAAAATTAAACGTATCAGTTTTTACATTTAAAAACACTAATTTTCTCCTTAGAAAGAAATCATTTGTTTATTGTTATATATATATAGATATTTTAAATCAAAGAGATCACTTTTTTTATTTATAAATTCATAATG